ATCTTTTACTCACAAACACTTTTCCTAATCTCTGACACATCAGCCATTCAATTATATTTTTTTCCAACTGCACACTTTTAGGATAAGAGAGAGAGAGAGAGAAAGAAAAAAAAGAAAAAAAAAAGCAATTACAAACAACTTTATTTATCCTGTTGTGATACAATATTTCTTGAAGACATGGCTTCATAGTATATTCTTAACCCAGAGTGCCAGGATGACATGATATACATGTCTTGTCCAATGTGAATTTATTTTACTAATTTTGTGTATACATAAATGCCTTCACATATGCTTGGCCATCAAAGAGTCAATTACTTGTTCTATCCCATGCTTACCCTTTTCCTTAATTTTTGGGAAGATTCGTTTTTTATCTTTTATTATTACTATCTTAATAACACTAAAATAATGATTATATTAATAAAAACAATAACTATACCAATATCAATAGCATTAGGGAGAAATTCCAAAAAAATTGAGGAATGGGGGTACCAGGTAAGGTCATGCAGGTTTTCACAACTCCCAGCTAACCCTCAGTGAAGCCCTCTTGGGCATCATGGGGTAAAGGAAAAGCTAATTTTACTTTATTATAATTTCAAAATAAGTATTATTATAAAATTGAAGTACACAGACATAATCAAAATGGAAAAATAGATGAAGAACCAGGTAGTTTTAAACTACAGTTCTATAACTGGTTTTCATAACTACAACATTTTTTGTATCATGGTTAGTAGAGTTATGGCCTTTAAAATATTTAAAAATAATGCCAATACACTCAATAATTGGCTTAAATAGAGCCTGAGTTTGCACAGGAATTAGCCTTTATATTGAACATAAATTACAACGAAACTTCATGCTGCATGAAAACAGACACCTTTCTGTCTGTTATCTTTCTATTCTAAACCATGAAGAAGAAAAAAAAGATGAAAACCTTTTCATTATAGTCTTCTTCCAATCTACACCTGAAGTTCAAAACTAGCCGGATAGTTACCAGGAGTAGGTCCCCCAACTCTTATATTCCTATTTCAAATACCATGAAAAAAAAAGACAGATAGTCCATAATAATGCATATCAATAAAAAGAATAAGTTAACCTTGCAATTTAGAGGAAAAGAAATTATCTTAGAAGGAAAAGACTACTGGCTGCTGATAACTGTTTCAAGGAACTAAATAAAATGGATACTACAAATAGAAGCTTCCAGAGTGATGCAGCCTATTTACTACAAATCACTACACTATTCAGCACAGGTAAAAGTAACATTCACAATAACAGCATGCATTCTTAGTCATGAATTCTGCAAGTCAAAAATGGTTTCACATACCAAATAGTTTACTGTTCATGAAAAAATTAACTATACTTTAAATGTGACAGGAATACGTGGTAGATCAGAGTTCATATTATTCTACATTAAGGCCAGATGCATTCCTTATTCATAACACTTAAACACATGACAAGTAAATAAATACTCAATAATTTGCTATAGACACCATACTGACACCCATGCAATTACCAACAAATCTATACTTCATATGAATAAATACAAATGTCTATATAAAAATCTTGTGAATATGTTAATTGTTCTAAATATGAAAAATATCATATAAAAGAATCACACACAATATAAATGATAAAATTATAAAATTCCATGAACTGCATGGACACCAATACAGTTCAGACACTGAGACAGCAACAGATACAGATAAGAGATATAGACACAGAGCATACATACAGAGGAGCAAGCTAGATAATACAAACTCCTTTAATTCCAAGGTATAGATACCCAAGATTTAAGAAATGAAGATAACAACATACTATTGGACAAATACAAAAATGCATTTCCAGTCTCACGCACAACAAACAAACTCACACACAGTCAATAAAGAAAGAAAAGCTATATGCACTTAAATACCAGTTTCCTTAAAGATCCCGGGGTGATTTTTTTTGGACATAATATTCAGTAGCACACTTAAAATATACATCCTAGAAATGGGATACATAATGACACTGTGCTCTATTTTCCAAGTAGTAAATGCAACTTAATGGTGTAATTTACAAAACCAAGATGTAGAAGATAGCTCAGTGCATTTTCCAATATAAATGGTACAATGATTTTGTAATAATATTCTACTTTCAAATACAGAATCCAAAATTTGGGGATAAACTACCATACCTGTTTCCTCCATAAAAAAAAAACAGGTTAAAAACTTAAACAAGTGCAAGACCTTACTTTCTTTGATATATAATCAATAACCATGTTCCTAAAATTTCAAGTAACAAACATTGCATTTTCAATGTAGATGTAATTATAAAATTATGTTAATTTCTACTTTTACATTTATGTAATTCATAAAGCAAACTGCAAACTATACAGGACCTCAATGTACAAGGAAATATTGAAAAGCTAAAATAATCTCTCTACTTCAAGCACGTCCGCTGTATACTAGTATACTGAATTTAGCATAATAGTCGAGAACTGTTCAAATTTGGAAAACTACCAACCTGTTTCCTCCATAAAAAAAAAAAAAGGTTAAAAAACTTAACAAGTTGCAAGACCTTACTTCTTGATAATAATAATCAATAACCATGTTCCTAAAATTTCAAGTAACAAACATTGCATTCAATGTGATGTAATTTATAAAATTATGTTAATTTCTACTTTTACATTTATGTTAATTCATAAAGCAAACTGGCAAACTATACAGGAACCTCAATGTACAAGGAAATATTGACAAACTAAAAACTATACTAATAGATCTCTGTTTCCCCACTTGAAAGAAATATCAACTGGCATCTTCACGCATATAAGATCATTTAAAACCAACATATCAGCATTCTTTGTTAATGATTGAATTACAAACAGTACACTGACTACTGTACTAGCTTCCAAATGAAGTAAAATAAGTTTTCCAATTTGGTACTATTTGATAAATAGGCCAAAGAAATAACAGTGAAAGAGTCTCTTGGATGCAAGAAAAGAAACGCATAACAGTAAAAGAGATAAGAGAGTCATTGGTTAGGTGTGTATAGTAAAAGAAATGTATTACTGTATTGCCCAATGTCTTACCCTATTTATTATGGTAACCTATGTCTACACTTGTATATCAATTCATAAGTTTTTAAACTTACCATTTACTTTGAAGTTGTTTAATTGTCTTAATACTATGATGAGGTTATGCTGTACCTGCGACTGCTGCTAAAACTGTTTGGTAAAATCTAACCACAAGCTCTTTTAACTCACTTTGTAACCAGTCTGGAGAATAAAACATCTCGACCTTACGGAGTCACCAATTTCCACCATTGTCTCTCCGGTACGGTGTTTATGGTACACAGCTATGTTTCCCATGTGTTTTCCCAGTCGACTGAATGAAAAAACTTGGCAATAGTCAAAGTGAGAATCTAAGACCTAATTCTAAATTAATTCTATTCATATTTTTTTCTACTCTATACAAAGACCACTATGCATATAGTAATAAAAGTAATGCAAAATCAGAAATATATTTAATATATCAATGATTGTAATTAAAAAAGAATATACACCCTCATGTCTATGAGAAATAACATGAGAATAGTTAGAAAGTGAAAAATTATATGGTAGGAAAAGGTTATTCATGAACAAAGACACAAGAGAAAACATTATGTACTTAGAATACAATACAACTAGTGCAGTATGACATACACAATCAATTTACTAAGTCATCAAATCATCTATATCTTATAAATCTCACATACAAACCAATCTAATCTAACGCTAACAATAATCGCTACCTCTATTTTCTATTGAATTAAGTAATGTTAATGACCTACATAATCTTTGCTAGATGCCAAAGATTATGAGGGTGAAAACCATACTAAGATAAAAGAAAGTCCAGATAATGAATATCTCAATCTATACTTTACAAAACAAGTTTTAAATCATTGGTACTTTAGTTGTTATTAGAAGAAAA